TGCAGCTAAAAACAGACAAAGACTGCTCACTAAAGGAACACCGTCTCTTGCTGTCTCTTTCTTTTTTTACCGTAGCTTGGAAACTGTGGGTGTTGGGGAGCAAAAAGCTGTCTGCCACATTATTTTTCTCTCTTTCTCTGTCATTTTCCTGACTCTTTTAATACCATCATTAGGAGAGCTCTCCTGCTTGTTGCTTCCGCTGCTGGCCAAGAAACACAAGACTGAGCAAGAGCGAGGGAAAAGAGGGGTGGAGACACGGAGGGAAATGTGTGCACAGGTTTTTGTCATATAGTGAGGTAAAGATGGTCCACAGTATCTGGGGGCTACAGTATCTGTAAATGCTGTGTGTTTTCAGCATTCCCACTTTAGCAAAGGTGTGCAAGTGTGTGTAAATTGGTACATCGCAGCTGTATCAACACGTGTCCTATCTGTCTTCCAGGTGCGCATGCACCTGGATTTTAGGAGTAAACCCTCAAATTTGGGGCAACGGACTTCCTCTGTTACAAAGTGTGGGCCATGAAGATCACTTCTCACCCAGCTGGATCTCATTTCTGGCCTGCATGCACGCCTATCAGCTCCACAGACCTGTGTGACCCTCTGTTCCCACGGTAACCTGAGGCCAAGAAACCATTTGTCAGATCTCACTGATTATCTTAGGTGCTGCGGCCCGGCTGGACGACAGGAAGCCTCACATAGGAATTAGAGATTTGTGGACGTGCAGCACTGCAATCAGAGTATGTGTTGATGTGCGTGTGTCAACAGGTAAAGTATGGTAATTCTTTTAATTATCTAGCAGCTTAAACATTATGACTGTATTTTTCTGTTAATTACATTGGGGGTAATTTAAGGATATTTAAGACTATTGGACATGGACTGCTCATATCTAAAACTAATCGCTATCCACAGACTCTGTGTTTCTTCGCCTTGTTAAATCATGACAATGAACATAAGAACATGTTCTGACTCTGGTAGTTAACATGATTAATAACCAATAGAAGAACTTACTTTTATCAATGCCAAAAAACCTTAAATAGACATGTTTCTCAAAATGTATTCAATGAAAAATAATGAACTTCCAAAGTGAAAATGAAAGCATCTCTGAGTGAGTGTGACAGCATTGCTATCAGACAGTGTAGGCACACTGTACAGCAGGGCTATTCAATTGGCGGCCCGCGGGCCAAATCCAGCCCCAGGGTGATATTTACTGGCCCTTGGAGTATAATGTTCTCCACATCTCTGCGTGAATGATTAGATCATTTCACCTAAATTAAATCAAATTAAATGATGTTGATGGTTAAGTTAGCTTCACATGTAGGCCTACTGAGTTCTGAACGTGCCATTTAGATCTATAAAGGCCTTGGGGCTATGTTGTTGATTTAATTAAACACAATATGCACTCCACTATGCTGTTGTAGTATTTACTGTATCTGAAGCTCTTAATATGATTGCTCATATTTCAAGCCATCTTTTCCCCGGCCCCTTGCTTTGGATCATTTTCATCAGCCGTCCCCCAAACTAATTGAATAGCCCTGGTGTACAGTGTAACAGTCCACACTTAACTCATTTGGCACATCATAATGACAGAATTATTGAGCAAGGAGAAATGAAATGGCACTAATTTTGTAATTCCCATCACTATGTCTCAGTTTCTTCTAGAAAAGGGAAAAGCAGTAGCTCTGCTGACACTCAACATTCCACATAAGACACACACATGAATGCACCTGACCTCACACCCACATGTGTACAAAATCAGGCCAACACAGCTAACATCCCCCACATCCCTGAACAAATACTGTAGGTGAGGCTGAAGGAAAGGCCACAAGTGGGGACAGAGGTTCAGACACACACATACTGTACATGCCTGTATGTGATCACATGGAAGTTCAGGAATTTAGATCTTGGTACGTTCTGTGATGTCTTAAAATCCACTCAGAAAATCTGAAGTCATCTCGCATTGTGAGTCTGTGTGTGTCTGAAAATACAGCCCTGAGAAGAAATTACCTTTTTTCAGAATTTCACCTTATTCATCCCAAAGCATTACGAAAATAACATTGGTTCTGAAAGGGTTTCTTTCTATTACCTTAAAGGCTAAAATGAACTTAAACGGAACGTTGTTAAAATAAAGGTAAAGTTATCAGTAACACATCTGATATATGACTTTAGAGAGTGGCTGTATCCAACAGGAAAGTGCCCTTCACTTTGCATCAATATAGCAGAGGAGAAACATTGTCATGTGTCATCACTTCAAACCCTTACATGAATATACATTGTACTACAGCATTTGTACATAATAAACTAAGTGTTTTTCGCAGCTGCTGTTTGACACATGGGAAAATTGTTGATAAGAATATTAGTATGATTTGACCCAGCATGCACAAAACAAGGACCCTAAAACCAAAGCAGCTAAATAGAATTCAGCCATCTACAAGGAAGCATTCAAACCAATATTTGTTCACAGACACCCAAACATTCACATATGAAGTTGAAACCTCCCAAGCTTATGAGATTTTATTTTAGTGCAATTCATGCTATTCTGCACTCAGCACACACAAACGCACAGTCTCAGCGGAAGTTAATTTCATCAGCACTGCACTGATGTAGGACACACACACACACACACACACACACACACACACACACACACACACACACACACACACACACACACACACACACACACACACACACACACACACACACACACACACACACACACACCCCTTCCTTTCAACCATCCAGAAAACTAACCAGCTGATCACAGCTTCTGTTCGCAGGAATCCAATTCCCTCCAAAGGTCATTTGTCCATTCAAAGATTTTCCTTTTTGCCATGCGCTCCCTCGTGCTCTCTTATTTATTCTGGTCATTTGTTACTTGTTGAAATCTATACTCTTTGCCCTCTTTATGTTTCCCTCTTTATTGTTATTTTCTTGTATTTTGGTTTGAACCCTATCTGGCCCTGTCTCCGCTTGCTTTCTCTTCTTCCCCTCATCACATACCCTGGATTGCAGCCAGGAAGAGGTTCTTGGCTGGAAATGGCAAACCAGGACAGAAAAGGCTCCGACCAGGTTGCCGGGTCACTGAGGAAGGGGCACAGCGAGACAGGGCGGGACTACGTGGCTCTGCTGGGTTTGAACAGGCAGATGCGGGCAGAGCTGATAGGCAGAGTCTGACAGAGCACAGTGTTCCTTGGCATGCCTAAGGAGGCTGTAAGAATTGATTAGTAATGACATGAGTTGTTCAGGGGCGTGGAGAAACAAATTAAATATAAGTGGACAGCACTAATGTAATGATTACAATGGTTGTGTGTGATTATTTGGTGTGGCTAACAGCGCAGATATCAATAATGTTTGTCTTGTAAATTTGCATTGTGACAATATTATTTTACTCATCAGCATTCACAGTCAAATTATAAGAGATTACATTTTAAAACAGCCTAAAGAAACATGATTTATTAAAATGATAGGTACATATTTTTTAGCATTTATTAGAAACAAACTGACATGCTCATAATTTCTTCTGGCCCTTTTTATTATTTTTTAATTTTCTGATTGAAAGACAGTGAAAAAAAAAGAGAATTTGTGCTTAAAAGTGAAGAAAATCATCTAAGATACCAACTTTATTCATGAAACTTTGAATATATGCAGCGTGCCCATCCTAGTGCATGATTGAAACAACATTGAATACATTGTTTCAACGCACAACCACTGGATAAATAAACTGTATAGGTTACCTTTAAGAATGAATTTATGCAGATAAGAAAGACTGAGGCTGCTGTGTCCCATCTATTTAATATGAGTCACATTAAGCATTTCAATATAGATAGGAAGAATGACTATAGTAACCAACACAACACATACAGTTCACATAGGCATGAGTATCATTTGATGTAAGACAGACTTGAAAGCGTGTGAACCTATCCTTAAAAATCCTGGCATGCCTTGCAGTGCAGTCAGACTGGGACGATCTGTTATCTATAACACTTTGAGCAACCTTTCCTAGAAATTGCCAATAGGCCTTGGAACGACAGGCTGAAGCGAGCAGCAGTGAGTTGCTGCCGGCTGGTGTCAGGCTAAGTGGGCATGTCAGGCCTGTGCCTGGCTCCCTGCCTGCTCTCAGCTGCTCTGTCCCCTGTGTCCTCGACCCTAAACGGATCCAGTCGCTGCTACTCAGTTCCAGTGGTGGGCTGATTTGGATGACTAATGAACACTTTTCCTAATGAGGGGAACTCCTCCCCTCATTCCCTGTACACATCCTCTTGCCCATTTTTACTCCTATTTACTGGCCTTTTCCCCCCTGCGGCTTATCTCTCTCACTTGTCGCTTCCACCTCTTCCTCGGGCACACTGGTCTTCATCTTTCTGCATCCTCTCATCTCAGCAGTGCACATTCTTCACACGGCCAATGTCTCACTTCCCTCTCTTGCTGACGGCCATTCACCAACTGTTTGCCATCTCTTTTCCTTTTCCTCTATTCATCGTCAGCTCTTTTAAAAGCATTTACAATTCAGGCTCTTTGAGCAACTGTTGTACAACCAAAATATGTTACAGTGGCAGCCTCAATTCAAATGCTGTTTTAGTGTCTGCTATTTGGACAGTCCTTCAGCATCCATAGGTAAAGGGGCAAGCCAGAGAAACATATTTTTTGAAAGCATATGAACTTATCCATGGACAATCAGATGAATCCTTTAATAATACCATCACCCTTTTACTTGCAGACCAGAGTGATGAAAAAATAACTAGGTATTTACCCACTTTAGAGGACTTCAGCCTCTTAGGACTCTGAGCTGTGAAGTTAACCTGAAAGACTGACCAAGGAGGACAGGGGTCAAAGGGCAACAATCTCTTGCCTTTTTATACACAGCATTCCTCCCTGCAAAACAGCTAGCATCCTCTACTCTCTTGTATGCTCTCTTGTATGCCCTCATGTCCTTCTGTCCACGGCGAGCTCAGTGAACACTACAGCATCTGACAGATAACAGGTAACACAGGTTGTCCACTCACCAGGCCGTCACAGTTGCTGATAGCAACAGATGCTCCTGGTGTGTCTGCGATGTCCCCAACGTACAAACATTCATTGTGGAGAGGCTCAGAGTGCCGGGCGCTGTCGCTGTCATCATGCCACTCCATCTTGGCTCCGGGGGCCACCAGCCTGGCATTGTGGCGCAGGCGCAGGTGGAACTCCCGGCCGAAGATTGTGACGTTGTAGTAAAGCCTTTCCTGAAAGGCCCCTGGCTCTCCTTTTGGTCCTTCCCACTCATCATTGCCTACTCCTACCTCCCTCTTCCGGCGCCTACGGGACTGCCCTCCTGCCATGCGGCCAGCCGAGACGGCATGTGACAGGAAGCGGCCCTCTGCGTCCACACTGATCGGCCTCACCAGTCCATATTCCCCCAGGACATGCTGCAGGGAGTCTGGGAACAGGAAAATAAAGGGGAGGGAAGTGGGAGAGACAGGAGAGCATTAGGAAGGGCCAGGTGAGAGAGATTGTTATTTTGGTTGAGTAAGAAGATTGGAAAATGTGGAAAACAGGAGGAAGGAAGAACATTGGAGTTTTAAGATAAGATAAATCAACCACAGGATGGAGAAAATGAGGAATCATGAGTGGAGTGGGCATATGGGGGTGGGAAAAGAGGTAAGGCGGAAAAATAAAGGATTAGAGAAATGTCAAGCATGCCATGGAATTATTTATTCCTTATTCTGCGTCACAGGAAACACACACAACAAAAAGATACAAGCAGTAACCTTTAACACACACACGCACGCGCAAACACACGCGCACACAGGAGCAGAGCCCCACCCATGAACCCAGAGGCGACCCCGGTGCTCGGCAGTGCGCGTTTGGAAACGGCAGCCTCAGCAGTGCGCGCTGCGCTCCTGACACCTTCTGTGCCCTTCTACCGTCAACAGGAAAGCCAGTACAAGATCAAGGTGCTAATTGCGGCTTTCTCACGCTGTTTTCTCACCGTCAGGCTGCTCGATCCGAGAGAAGTGATTTCAATAACCTCTACACTAAATGGATATAAAAGGAAAATAAATTATCCTAAAACGCGCTTTTAATAAATCGGCCATGATCCACATCAAAATGCATTAAAAAATACTTATTATAATCTTTAAGCGTGATAAATAATGCACTATAAGTAATGACACCTAAAGTACATTTATTTGTCCGACATTGCCTTGGATTAAACAACATTTCATGTGACAGCGACAACACGTGCATTTTAAGCGACCTGACACACACACACACACACACACACACACACACACACACACACACACACACACACACACACACACACACACACACACACACACACACACACACACACACACACACGGCACTAAAAGGTGTCAATTCCATCAGAAACAGAGAGACAGAGAGTATGCTAACAGCTTATTTGTGGTCCTCGCACGCACTTGATATTGTATTATTATTATTATTTGGTTATTTAACTGTCAGATTTAATTTAAAGTTTGCAGACTGATAAAACCTAACATACGCTGTTAATATTTCTTGAGCCCCCTGTCAAAGGGATGATTTGATAATAGTGTGATCAATAGGCTGACATCCGACTCCAGCGTCCTGTGACAGATCGATAGATGCGACAGCGGCAGAATCAGATAATGTTAGGCTACTTCCCTGCAAAACCCGACAGTAAACCCGTGCATCTGATGGCCTTTTACACTCCAGATAGATAACATTATCCCCATAGTGGGAGAAAGAAAACCACAACACTGCTTGCACGGCGGAGAGGAAGACCCTGCAAACACCACAACAGGACGCACAGAAGTTGCAAATGCTTCCTACAATGTTGTTTGCAAAAGCTGCAAAAAGCATGCCAACATTAAACCCAAGCAGGAGAAACCGGACAGTGTTTTTGCCGTTTCGTTGAGCTTCAGACTTCCAGAGAGCGCATGAAGAGCCCGGACAGATAAGAGATCAGCAGATACGTAGAACAACATAAACACTGACCACGTTAAATTGTAGCCTACTGTACTGTACGTACCAACGCTACTGGCGATGTAAAGGCCGCTGGTGTGCAGCAGAAAGGCCGGTAGAATAATTAGGACAGTAAATCCATGCGAGAGACCCATGGCAGCTCCGAACTGCGCAGGTGAGAGAGTGGGACTCCGGGCTCCAGTGTGGTGAAGTTCCCCGCCTGGCGCGACCAGCCACGCCACGACAGCAACAGCACAGCAGCCCGCAACTAGACTGCCAAGTGCACCGGGAGAGACGGAGCTCTCCTCCCCTCTCTCTCTCCTCCTCTCTGCCGAGGTCTCTCTCTCTCTTACTCTCTCTCTCTCCCACTCACACACTCTCACTCAACTCTCCTCCTCCTCTATGTCTCTTTTTCTCTCAACTCCTCACTCACAATGCCCCCCCACTCTCAGCTTTAGTGCTCTGACAACTCCCCGACTCTGTGTGTGTACACACACACACACACACACACACACACACACACACACACACACACACACACACACACACACACACACACACACACACACACACACACACACACACACACACCGGGCGCCCACACACTCCGCTGTGAGATGAGAGGATATTTCAGAGAGGACTGACTGGCCCGCTGACAGCTCGCATTGACAAGAACTGCAATGAAATTAACTAACAAGATGCTTTATCACACCTCCAGCGTGTGGCAGGATGCAAACGTGATTTTTTTGTGCAACTTGGGCAACTCTTTCTGTTATGAAAACTACTGTTCAACTCTCCCCTCCGCTGGTCCCTGATGTGCTGCATACACTTTCAATGTCCCGTCAAGCGTCATGGGTTGGAGAGCAGCAGCGCCCCGTGTGTTTCACAGGAGGAAACTGTCAGTTTTGCAGGGCCCAAGGGTCCAATTTACAGACAGAGAAAAAGCCTTACTGGCCCTAACCTGCTTGCCCTCATTTAACACACCATTTACTCCTTTTGACCACTAATCTTATATTGTTGCAAACACTGATCAGCTGCATAAGGCCAACAAATTATTTAAACAGGCCGCATTATCTTTTCAGAAATGATTCCGCTTTTTCATCTCTTTTAAAATTAATATAAATACTGCATATTATAGGGACTATGAAAACACAACAAATCACAAATACCTATCAGTAAAGTAATTCCAAAATAAAGTATTAGATGAGTAAGTAAGAATTTCTGATTTCATAGTCTTTGGTTTCCGTTTTCACTATTAGCTTGCAACCGTCTGCAAAAACCAGCCTGACCAATAGGTAGATTGTTCAGCAGCTTATTACGACCTATAGTCACGTTTTAAAGTGTAGCACCTCTAGAGGTCGTGTAA